GCTGGAGAGCAGAGACGCGCCCAGAGATGAGTGCGAGGAGGTGATGAGACATGTCACTCAGAGGAGCAATGACCTACTGTAGCCTAGTGGTTCATGCCAAGTCTCGGCTGGTAACTGAGAGGTTGTAGGTTCAAGGCCAAAGAAGGGTGATTTAAGAACTCTCACTATAGTGCACTTCAGCGAAACGTCCCTGTCACCTAAATGACTAATTAGTAAATACGTATTATTTAGCTGTGACGAACAACTCAAAGTTGTGGAATTAAGCACATAGCTTGCTCTCTACTCTGAGTGGTTATATAGGGTAATCACTATCTATCACACATTTGATAAAGGCTGTTTATTGGCTGTCCCCACCTAGATCACATCCAGTCTTGACAGCATTTCAGCTCATCATAGAACTGTCTTATTAGATTTGCTTTGTCTTTCTTTTTGATTGGTAGCTACAGGGTTTGATTACACTGACTGATATCGACCTCTGAGTAGTCAGACTCATCTAGTGCCAGTATAGAATATGTCTTGCTGTGCTGTACTTCTTGTCAATAAAAAGATTATAAGAAATGCTTTAGCAAATACAATTTGGCAATAATAAATATATATATTTTACAGATTTCTACAGCTGTCATTCTGACTACTGATTACAAATTTGTATAAGTAAGCTAAATGTTTTTCTATTTATTTTACATATACAAATTGGCAGTAAGGAGTCAGAAACTCGGCTGTAGGAATCTATTTTAAAAGTTAGATTTGTGATTGACAAATACAATTTTTGCCAAATATACAGTATATAAACCATAGAGATTTTTAGTGGGCATCCATAATCACAGGGCCTGGGATAATGTCCCCCCTCCCCCAACTCTGATTCAATTTAAAGCCTATCCGGAGCAAATGATATTGGATAAATGTGTTATTCTGGGATTGGCTCATCGCACACCTTCCAAACCCAGACAAAAGTATAGTTCAGTCTGTTTATTGTGTGGTGCTTTGATATATATCTTGGTGCTGAATAATTTCATTGTTATTTATGTAGTATTCTAGATATATCCAAAAATGTTGTTGTACTATGGTACATTTTGTTAGTGCTTTCTGAAAAAAGGCTATACTGATTTATACATTAGTCGTCGCTTTCATTTGCTTTACAAATGATTCACATGCTGGCTCGAGTGTGTTTATATAGGTGAAATGGACAACTGATTTGAGAGAGCTAGAGAGACTAGTTGTTGTTGTCTTCCTTTTGTTTTCTGTTTGTCTTCTCCTTTGTGTGATACCTCAACCTAATACTATTGTCACAGAATGTACAGACAAAAAAAATTTTAATCATCTCTTCCATTTGGGCTCTTTAGGCCTTTGGTCAGTTTGATGCTGAGGGTGATGGGATTGTTGATGTGGAGAACATGCTCACGGCACTGAAAAGCTCCAATGGAGCCAACCTGCAGGGAGAACTCAGTCATGTGATCAGGCAGCTTCAGGCATGCTCTTTGACACCAGGTGGGGAAGCAGACCTGAATGAACATGCTTATTTATTTGAATGCAATGGCGACAGGAGCTCAGATGTCCAAAGTTGAGCATGCCAGGTGACTATGCAAATGATTCTCAATGTTTGACCCAGTTGTTGTTCTCTTTTACCCTTTATGCTCATCCAGGATTTGTGGATATCTTCTCCAAGTCCAAGGACCGTCTCAAAGCACATGCCTCCAAAATCCTGAAATTCTTGCACCGAAATCGCATTCCCAGCAGCGCCATCCCATTCCCTGTGCTGGAAGGCTACAACAGCATCTGCACCATGAGGTCATCTGTTGTGCAGGACTTCCTGGATTACCTGTTACAGAAGGAGAAAGGTAAATGGAGGGTGGAGTTGTAACAACAATTATTGTATAGTGCTGCAGGGATGACATATTTTTGTAGGCCAACTCAGAAGTGAGCATCAACCTGGTTCCATCCAATAGGGATTTTCATTGGCTTTTGGATT